GCCCTCTCAGCCTTCTCTTCTCCAGGCTGAACAAGCCCAGCTCCCTCAGCCTCTCCTCGTAGGAGAGATGCTCCAGTCCCCTCCTCATCCTCGCAGCCCTGCGCTGGGCTCTCTCCAGTAGCTCCTCATCTTTCTTGTACTGGGGAGCCCAGCACTGGACCCAGTACTGCAGATGGGGCCTCACTAGGGCAGAGGAGAGGGCAAGGAAATACTGCTAGTTAAAATTACAGCAAGAAAGCACTTGGGAAGATTTGCTTGCCATTGCAACTGGAAAGGTGTTGGAGAGCGCGTGGTGCTTGGGCATGGTCTGGTACGCTGCAGTGTACAGAGGAGCGGTTACTTTGCAACCAAACTGTTCTTGCAGTGAGCTCTTGGCTTTTGACGCCTCTGAGCCGACACACTGCAGCCTCTGGAGCTCCGGCCCGGAGTACGTGGCACTGGCTGGAAGTCAGCCTGGCTCAGCCGTGCGGCTTCTGTGTGACTCTGAGCACCTCCTATCTCTTTTTCGGGCTTTTCTTTGTACGTTACTGGAATGGAGCTTCCGATAAAGGGACCAAACAAGCAGTCTGTTTGGGATTTTCATTTGTGGTTCTCTCCTTTTCCTGAGTTCGGAGATGTGTGAAGTAGGTGTGCTCGTGGTGGAGGAGAGAGATTGTTCTGTACTGTCTCATTTTGCTGGTTATCTTTGCTTTTCAGAAAGTCACTCTGCATATAAAGTGGCCTAAGAATGTGGAAGTGGAAGGCTATGGGACCAAGAAGATTGATGCTGAGAGGCAGGCAGCAGCTGCAGCGTGTCAGCTCTTCAAGGTGAGCTCATGCTCCTCCTTAGCTTGAAAAAACAAGCCTTGGAGTGTGCAGGCCTCGTCTGTTTTGGTGATAGGATTTTTGACTTTTCTCTTTCTCTTTGCCTGTTTGCTTTCTTAGTTGGTCTATTTGTTAATCAAGGGTAGAGGGTGAAGTCTTGAGCTGTCTGAATCTGTTTGAGCTTAATAGCCGACTTCCTTCAGCCAGGGATGAACTCACTAAATTCTTGGAGTTCTGCTCTTTGTTCTTTTTGTCCTAGACCTTAATCAGCTTCTGTCTTAGTGTCAGCATCTATGGCGAGTAGAGCTTACGTCAGGTGTATTGGCTGTTCCCTAACTCACGCTTCTGTCAGTCTACCCGTGAGTATTTGCAGGCGTAGCACCTTCAGAGGCTCGTGTTGCCGCTCCGTGTAAGCCGTAGTGTTTCAGTTACGTGTTCTGTTTCATGATTACTCCTTTAAAGTTATGCCAGTCTGCCACTTATTTGTGGCTGGAAGTGGTTGAGCTGTGTGCACAGCCAGTATCAAACACGTACAGTAGAGTTAGAGAGGTCATGGCTGAAGATGTGATGTTACATAGCAATTATGAGAGAAGAAGATGCAGCTTTGTCTTCAGCTCTGCCACTGCCTCTTGCCTGTAACCTTCAGCGAGGGAGTTTGCTTTTGGAGTTTTTCTTTCATCTGTGGAGTAGGTACAATGATGTCTTCCTGCTAAGGAGCCTAGAAAAGGTGCTGCAGGTGCTCTGACAGCTCTTTGAGAGCTTTTTGATTTGCTTGTAGGTCAAGAAAGCTACATTAAGAAATAATTAATTAGTTTTTAAATTAAGCCTGCCCAAGTTAACAGATGCAGGGTTTTAAGCCTGCCCAAGTTAACAGTTGCAGGGTTAAAACTAGAACTTTCTTCAGCTGGTCTCTGTACTTAGGCTAGTTGCTTTAATCAAAGAAAGATTAAAACAGAAGTTTTCAAAGGAGAAAAAATCCTGTCTACACTTAAATTTTTCTCCAAACTTTGGGAAATGACTAAACTGTATTTTCAGCATAGAACTACAAAAACTCAACCCCCCTGAAACTCCAGATTCAGCATGCAAAATTTTGAACCCTGACTCTTTGCCAGCTAGACCTGTAACCTAACAGAAGACCCTCACAATGGGAGGCCTTGTGCAATCTTAGCTATAGAAATAGCTACAAATGGTGCTTTAAATAAATAGTCATCAGCTCAAGAAAAGTAGTAGTGTCTAATTGGTGCAGAGACTGTCTGAATATAGCGACTGTGAGTGCAGCAGCTAGCACAGTGAATTGTTGCTGTCCTAGGCACTCCTACAGCACGAAATAATCCAGCCTTGTCTAATGTGAGGCCAGCGAGAGGCCTAAAGATGTGACTTTTAATTTATTGCAGCGGTCTGGTAAGACACGGTGTGTGCTACACCCTAGATATGTCTGGAGCTTGATGTAAGGTTCAGTCCTAAATGGAGGTGGTAGGCCAGCAGTAATTAGGAACTCCTCTGTTCCAACAGTTGCTGCATTAGGGAGATCTGACTACTGCTCAGACAAATAACTGTTTGTCTGAAAAGGGAGATGAACCGTTCTGTGAATCACAGAATGTTGGGGGTTGGAAGGGACCTCTGGGGATCCCCCAGCCCAACCCCCTGCCCAAGCAGGGTCACCCACAGCAGGCTGCACAGCACCGCAGCCAGGGGGGCTTGAGTATCTCCAGAGAAGGAGACTCCCCAGCCCCTCTGGGCAGCCTGGGCCAGGGCTCCGTCACCCTCAGAGGGAAGAAGTTCTTCCTCGGGTTCAGCTGGAGCTTCCTCTGCTCCAGTTTGTGCCC